CACACACACACACACACACATATATGTACATTTATATTGTATATGTATGCAATATATGATCTTTTATTACACAATGCACACATATAGGGTGTGTTCCATTTAACGTTCGCAACGCTCGCGAGTATCATTTTATCCTTATCGTTTTCAAATATTAAACAAGGATGAAACGATGCTCGCGAGCGTTGCGATCGTTAAATGATACGCGCCCATAATTTCAAAAGGCATGAAGCGCCAAGTATATTATAAAACTGTAACAATCATTTGGAAGAGAAAAGCTACAAACATATCTAACTAGAATGATGGATTTTTCGAGTAATTTTTACAGCAATGATTATTTATATTCTGTTAATCAAAACCAATTTATCAAAAAGTAAAAATTATATAAATTATTACTTTAACCATTTTATCAAAAAGTAAGAATTATATTAATTTTACCTGTATGCATTGATATCGTATAAATGACAGTTGATGTGTTCGTTGCAGAGATGTTATTTTAACATTTGCATTTATTTGTATATAGACGAGTGGGCGGGTTTCACCGTTGCGTCTCTCTTTTCATCCTGCTGTCCGCGAGGTCGTCAACTGTCGAGACTCTTGACGTCGGTATATAGGGCATTCCACTTAACTCGGCTCTCTTGGGTATCTTCTGGTATCTTCCCTGAAATCATTTCGTTCGAAAAGACATATCATGATTGCTGAAATTAAATATCCTAAGAGGATCATCAAGGATCATCCACATTTGTTTCCAAAGAACATTTCCAAGCAGAGCAACAAATTACGATAATGTTAAAATGAATTCTGAATCCTAACTGATCGAAAAGTGACTTTTAATAATCATTTTGGAGTCATTTTCACGTTCATTTTGATGTTATGATGGTTTTTTGTTTTGCTTGGGTCAATGCTATAACGTGTCATATTGATCGCAAAAATAGTGTTTGTTGTATTAAACTTTATGTTAAGTTTAAAAAATCTGGATTTAAAAAATGGAAAACAGATTGAAGAGACCTAAACAGAACAAATCACAATAACGTCAAAATGACGTTAAAATAAATCGTAAATGATTGAAAGATGACTTTTAGTAGTCATTTTGAAATCATTTTGATATCATGATGACTTATGTTCTGTTTTCTAGAAACAAAACGGTGATGATTTCCTTCCGTTTTAAGAAAAAAAAATATATATTAGTATATAATATTAAATATAATATTAAATAAAATATAATATTAAATTATATAATATATAGATAATAATATATATAAATTATATATTATTTAATATCATATATTAAATAACACAAAAGTTGCAATCTTGACCTTTTTATAATACAGAGTGCTTTTCAGCAAGAGACACAGATGACACAATGTAATACAGCCAATTAAAAACTCTACAACAAAGTCTGATCACAAGCGACTTTATTAAAATCTTCCGATTGAAAGAAAGGTATATACCTTTCCTCTCTCAAAGAACACACAAAAAAAGAAAAAATCAAAATGACTATTCTGGATTCTTAATGTATAATATAATAAGCATTCTCAAATTTCATAACAAAATATCATTTTGAAAATAAAGTCATTTTAACTTTCTCTGAATCAACTTGGTGTGTCCCTTGGGTTGTATATATACTATTTCACTCTAACTTATGCTATCTCACTCTATAATCTTAATTAAAGTTACAGAAGGAGACAGATAAGTTAAAGTGAGGTATAATATATATGTATAGGGAAGAAGTAATATATATCTTCCTTTCTCGCAGGATTTTAACAAAATTGTTCGTGGTCAGACTTCGTTATAAGATCCCTACAGTGAATCATTACATCCTTGATGTTTGCCAATTAAACAAAAATGAAACGTTCACTGCGTCATTTAATTGCTAGAGAGTATCAATATAATTTTTTCCTCGTAGTACATTTCCCCGCGAGGATACAATAATAGAGAAGGCAAAGAGCTTCAGATGAGAAAAATCGAGTTGGATGAAACATCCTGTAGTCAATATCCTAGATAACATTTATACGGCACAGTAACCGTACATTGCTGAGTCGTGAAGCTCTGAAACGTTACGCTATGCACGCATGTTATACTCATGTGAGACATCGGCCGGTATTCATAGACGATTCTTATTTCAAGATAGTCTTAAGTAATGTCTTAAGTCACTAATGCGACCTTCTGATTGGTTCATGACTTCTTAAGACGGTCTTAAATATAAAACCCGACTATGGCCGGTATTCATAGTCCGGTCTTAATCTCAAGCAAGGTCTTAAGATGCTAATACAGCTCTCTGATTGGTTCATGACTTCTTAAGACGGTCTTAAATATAAAACCCGACTATGGCCGGTATTCATAGACGATTCTTATTTCAAGATAGTCTTAAGTAATGTCTTAATACGCTAATGCGGCTCTCTTATTGGTTCGTAACACCTCAAGGCTGAACTTGAGACGATCTTGAATATAAGAACTGACTATGAATACCGACCATCATCATGGCCGGAATCCATAGTCCGGTCTTAATCTCAAGCAAGGTCTTAAGATGCTAATACAGCTCTCTGATTGGTTCATGCACTAGCTTAACTATCTCCAATCTTGAGCACCGTCTATGGATTCGCCCCTGTGTTAAAATTCGTGAAGTCACATGAAACAAATTATGTCAACAGCACGTTAACCGCACATTGCCAGCACGACGTTAACTTTATAGCTGACACACAGTTACGTTGTAGCAGCATGTTGACTGCACAATGAATAATACAAATTCTGTCTTTTTGGAACAGCACGCTAAGCACACAATCCTGTTACGGCGTGTAAAATTTTTATTAGTTTTCATTCTTGGAGCCCTGCAATTATAGGAACTCATCTCATCATTATTGGCTGTATTCAACAGACTCAAGTGTTGAGTCTGCTGAACGCAGACATTTTATAAAAAAAAAAGGAATAATTTTTGACTAAGAAGTCTCATACTGCTCCTTTTATTCTACTCGATGTGGTTTTTTAAATACGAGAAATTGAACTTCGCTGCGTCCCTCTAGTGGCGATGTTGTGCACTGCTTGAAAATTGGACATATAGAATATTTTTCTGCACGAAACTAGCCATCGTGCAATTTCAAAGTTATAGCGCGCAGTTTTGTTTTAATACTGACAATGCGATCGCGCACGAGAGAAATTGCGTTTTTAAAGATACAGTACGCAATTTTGGTTTAATGCTAGCACTGTCAGATAATTTTAAGCAGTGACTTTCAAATCTGACAACATTGACTTGCACAATACCAGTACGATATCTAAACTACTGAAAATCACGGTCTGTTTAGCTGTGACTTTTGCACGTTTGGGTATCTGGGATGTTGCAGGATGCATTCACTCCCCCCCCCCCCCCTTTTTTTCCCCGACTCTCCAGGAAATCGATTGTGTATCTTGAAATGAGATGAAAAGTACAAAAGTGAGGAAATTAATTAAAATATTTATAACTTCATTGGTAAGCACCTAGTAAATTTGCTTACTTTTATGATTTCTATCTTGTCTCTCAAAATATATACAATCAACTTCCAGATCTCTCCGATATTCTCGAGCTTCTCAGAGACCCACGGAGAGGACCGTACTCGTATCGCCGAGGCGAAGCGTGTCGAGGACGTCGTCGTCGTCGCTCGACAACGTTTCGCTGCTCCTAATATACTATATACACATGTGCAGCCACCGGCGCGTGCATCGCACAGCCTTCTCGACGATGGCTATCGAACGGGGTGCACACCCTTTTCCATCTCTCTCTCTCTCTCTCCCCCCTCCCTCCCTTCCTTTCTTCCTCTTTCCGTCTTTCTCTCCTGCCTCATATTATCTTCTGGAGAGTGTATACAAAGAGATCGGCGATAACTTTCTTATCGCGTTATCAGTATTAACGGTCGCCGTTCCCTTTCTTCTTTCGAGCGGTTATCGATCTGGCGCGCGCCGCGCGCTCATTATCTCCGCTTATTACAAACGGTTCATCGTCCGCGCGACGCACGCTGCCCGCGCACGTGCCAATTAAGAATATCTAATCCCCGCGAAACGCGGTCACGGGGTAAATCCGATAGCGGCGTGAACGCGCGAGCGGTAAACAGCCGCACGTTCGCGTCTATAATTGGACGTGAGGTATCTCGCCATTCTCGCCATGCCGAGGCATGCGAGATAATTCACTTCTGCGAGAAAGAATACCGAAAGCGTAACGTGAAATCGTGGAAAATTACAAAATCCCGAGGGGGATGAAAGTTTTCTCTGCAAGAATGTATACATTACGTTCGGTCGGAAAAGAAATTCGTAACGCTACTCTTCGACTGAATCTGTTTTTTTTTTTAATTGCAATACGCAACACACACACGACTGAAAAAAATTGATTAAACTTTAATACATATTTCTTTGAATAAGAAATACTGCCTTTCTTTTAGGAGATACGAGGCGCGTTCCACTTAACGTTCGCAACGCTCGTGAGCATCATTTCATCCTTATCCTTTTCAAATATTAAATAAGGATGAAATGCTTGCGAGCGTTGCGAACGTAAAGTGCACCCACGGTCGACAAATGTATCGTTCTTTGTTATTCATATAAGAAAAAGTTACTTAAAAACTTATTTGTAAAATAAAATTTTATTCCTAACAAATAAACCATCTTTTTATCTTTTTTACAATTAATGACGTATTTCATAGAAATGTATATTTCGTCATCAAATTTTTTAAATCGATAAATATTGAAGAAAACATCAGATTAATATTTACTTGCGAATATTTCGATTTTTTTCTCAGTGTATTTGTATGTATAATTATGTGCATGTATTGAGAGGGAGGGAGAGAGGAGGGAGATGCTATTGAATGATGAATGCATCGTCGGGGACGTCGAGATGCGGGCTCACCTAGTTATGCCATCGGCATAACGTAGATAGATTCATCGTTCCACTGTTCTAATTCGAGTGCCGGGATATTCTTAAATAGCGATATCTATTTGCAGGCACTGCAAATCGAAGTCCTGTTCCTTTGCGAAAATGTGATTTCATTCAATAGAATAATAC